TGCATATGCATGTGGTATATGTGCATGTGCGTGAGGGAGAGATAGAGAGAGAGAGAGAGAGAGAGAGAGAGAGAGAGAGAGAAAAGGACCAGTACAAGTGTGCAAGAGAGTCCAGTCTGCTTTAGACCAAATTCTTTAAGAAAAATAAATTATTCTTTAATTTTGGTTGATCTTTAAAAAGAGAATTATGGGAATTTTTGTGGTTGCTCTTGTTGAGGAGCAATAAAAAATAGAAGTTTCCAAGAATAAATAAACCTTATATTAAATGATGTAGGAAAACACTGAATTATCTTAATTTTCTTGTATAGAAGATATAATTGATAAAAATGGAATTAAATTGTTGACATGTGAAATACAATTCCCTCTTTTATCAGCTATAGCACCTCTTTTGGCTCTCTCTGTATGGTCTGCCTTTCATCTTCTTCTGCCCCATTCATTCCTGTCTACTTTTTTTTTCTTTTTCTTTTTTTGAGACGGAGTCTTGCTCTGTCACCAGGCTGGAGTGCAGTGGCGTGATCTTGGCTCACTGCAACCTCCGCCTCCTGGGTTCAAGCGATTCTCCTGCCTCAGCCTCCCGAGTAACTGGGACTATAGGCACGCTTCACCACGCCCAGCTCATTTTTGTATTTTTAGTAGAGATGGGGCTTCACCATGTTGGTCACGATGATCTCTACCTCTTGACCTTGTGATCCGCCCATTTCGGCCTCCCAAAGTGCTGGGATTACAGGGGTGAACTATCATGTCCGGCCTCCTCTCTCTTTTTTTAAAAAAATACTTTTGCTTCTCTTTTTTCTTAATTCTAATAGAGGTATCAGTTGGATATTTAAGATACATAGGAGCAAAAAGCAAAGTGTTTGCAGACTCCAGAGTGAAAGTAATCTATTTAAAGCATTCTTTTCATATGGATGTGTAGAGTATAGACTATAGTGGATTAATTTACTATGCTAAATCCTAGAATACCAGCATTAATTTTATTTTAAAAGTCACAGCATCACATTAGCTCAGGGAGACCTGTGATTCCTGAATTTCTTTCATAGTGCTCTCACTAATTCACAGCCCATTCCAACTGGGCACAGTTGTGACTTCTTGATAGTTCTCCCATGTATTGAACAGTTATTTTGTGTATCCTCAGACCTCTAAAAATTGAGCACTGGAGTAGTAAAAAATTAAATAAGATAAAAGTCCATTTCCTTCATGAGCCATTTCTTGCCTAAAATACGTTGCTTATATTCCTTCATTCACTTTAAGACTCTGTATCTTCTGCTTCTCTTTACTCATATTCCACCCAATCAACATGGAATTTCTGTATCAGCAACCCTATTTTTGTGGCAGCCACTGCAACATTCTTCCCCATTTTGCTGATGCCCTTTGGTGCTTATTGGTCTTTCTAAGCTGTAATCTCAACTTCTACCACTAATAAAGGTTACTTTTTCATAAAGTCATGAGACCCTTCAAATACAGATACAAATATATATTTTTCAAATATTTTTTTTGTATTTATGATGAAGTATGCCCACATTTTATTTTTATTTTTATGATAATTTTTCTCTCCTTCATAAAAATCAATTTCTCATTTTGGAAATTTATTTTCTCATCTCTCTCATGTAGTTTAAACATTTTGTATAATATCTGTTCATCTTCATTCTTCCCTGTCCTACTAAGATGTTCTCTATTTCTAGCCAATTTTTTGAAACCCTATATGAAATAACAGGCATGAGTAGAGATGAAAGTCTTGAGAGACCCATATATAATATCAAGATGCGTACTCGATGAAGGTTAACCATGAGTAGCAATGGCACTTTTGGATCTATGTGAAGTCACCACTGCAGTAATCTCAGAAATGACTATCACCAGAATCAGCATCTAGTTTTTTTTTTTTTTTTTTTTTTTTAACTCCAGGATCTTTGACCCTTTGATTTTACCTACTAGTTTTTCCTCATTGTTTTAAAATTCTTCAATAGGGATGACTACTGGGATTGCCTCAAAACTGTTAAGTCGCTCCAGGTCAGCTGAGTTGCTTGCCTAATACCCCTTCCTCACAATCTTCACAACTTTGGGATTAGTTTTCTCTCTTCCTTCTGCTCATTCAGCAATATACTAATGTATGCTAGACAATTTTTGTGTATTTTCTTCTGTGCTCTCTCTCTCAGAAAGTCATCTCTATTCAACTGGAGCTAAGAAAGGTTATTTTCAGGTATCCAAACCTTCTCTTGAATCAAGAGTTCCCATAGCCATCTCTTTTTAACTCTTGAAGCCTTTTTTCTTGTGCCCTTCTGTAGTCACGGTTATCAACAAAATTCCTTACAATGTTCTCAATATCTCTTTTGAGCATTCAGTTTTCCTCACTGTCCTTTTCAACAGACACTTGGCTGTCCCTGAGGACAGTGTTTTCTCTGCAGTCTTCTCAAATGATGATTTTTTTTCCCTTACCACTTTTACCCCTGAACCTGGTGGTGGATAGTGTCTTTTGTTTTCCTCATTGCTGCTTATGACAATTCTCTCTCCTTCCTACATACAAATACCCATAGTTGAGTATTCTTCCCTGTCCTAGTAAGATGTTCATCAGACTATATTAACAAATCTCTCTCTTTCCTCACACATTTGCAGTCATCAACTGACTAGCAAGCATCATGTCTCCTCATCTTTGGAAGATTTTTGGCTCTGGCTCACTCCCTTTCTTACATTATTTCTGTCACTATTCCTGATGGTTTAAATACCTCCACATAGAGGATGCTTCCAACATCTTGGTTTCTTAGTTTCTTGACATCTCCTAAAAAAATTTGTTTTCCTCCCTACCATAATCTGTCTCTCCCATTGTTAGAGTTTAGACATTATCATTTGCCAATAACTGTAGCTTTTCCATAATCCCATTTTTAAACATCCCAAACTGTAACTTACCACCATTTCTTGTTTTAGCTTTTTTTCTACTCATTTTCCCTAGTGGAATAATTATAGAAAATTTTCAATCCCTGCAGAAGGGCGGGAACCTTTTTGTTGATTTTACCCATCTCAGGTACTCACTTCATCTTTGCCTAGCTTAAATGTAGTGGTTATTTTACTGTCTACTTTGTTATTACCCTAACATTCCATACTGACCCCTTTTGTTGCTCTAAGGAAAAGAAAATCCTAGTGGAATCTGACTCCACATCTATCAGGCACTCACAACTGTTCAGCTGCAAACAAAAAACATATTAATTGCCTAGATGCTGGGCACTGAAGGAGACTATCACCTGCCTCAGAGAATTGTCATTATCTCTCAGCCGCATCTTTATATGAATTGCTGCATTGCAAAATTACCCTTTCAAGATGAAATGTATTATTTATATGTTAGCATAATTAAAAAAAATTTTAACATGTAACGAACCAAGTATGCTTTCTGATATTCTATAATCTTCTTTTTTTTAAATATATATTTTATTGCATTTTAGGTTTTGGGGTACATGTGAAGAACATGAAAGATTGTTGCATAGGTACATACATGGCAATGTGGTTTGCTGCCTTCCTCCTCATCACCTATATCTGGCATTTCTCCCCATGTTATCCCTCCCCAACTCCCCACCCCCCGCTGTCCCTCCCCAAGATCTCCCCCACAGACCCCAGTGTGTGATTCTACCCTCCCTGTGTCCATGTGTTCTCATTGTTCAACATCCACCTATGAGTGAGAACATGTGGTGTTTGATTTTGTGTTTTTGTGTCAGTTTGCTGAGAATGATGGTTTCCAGGTTCATCCATGTCCCTATAAAGGACACAAATGCATGGTTTTTTTATGGCTGCATATCTATAATCTTCTTTAGGAATTACAGAAAAGATGTGTAATATATAAAATAAAGATAGCAAATGAATTAGAGGTCCAAGAATATAGTTTTTCATTTTAGCTCAGTTTCCAGAAAGCCATTGGTTCTAAAGTTAGTTACTTAACTTTTTTGGATCTCAGTTTACAATTTTATAAAATGGGAGAAATTGAGTGAATTATTTCTAGGACCTTTTGAAGCTGGGCATCATGTGAGAAAGCTCTCCTGCTTTTCTTGCTTTTTCATGATTTTTATCAAGCAAGTTGGTATGGGGGAGGGTTTTCCAGAAGCTGACCTACAGATGCAATTTTTATCAGACAGGAACTATTCATATAGGGCTGGATATTTGTGAGCTGTAGAAGGCTGGAATCTTCTGTTAGCAACCTAGCCCCAGCTTCTGGAGTCTTGGGCATAAGTTGTGTCTTTGGAGGCTTCCAGGAGTAGCCTGATCATGTCTTCTCCAGATTGGCTCACTATCATGAATCAGATAGCTTGATCTTGAGATAATCAGGAGATATCGTAACTCCTCTTTCAAACCTCAGTCTTCCTCTGTTTATTTGTTTATAATTTGAGTGCATTACTTCACCTTCTACGTTGGTTCAGACTTCCTGGATTTTTGATGTACTTTCCCTCAACTGTAAGATCTTTGGGTGGGGACCACAGCCCAGTGCTGAGTTACTGGCCTCTTCTTTGTCCTGTGGATTAGTATTTGGCTAATCTGTTTGACCCCCGGAATTCAGAATTCTTAATGACTACACATCTTTCATACAAGAGATGATATCTCAAAAATCCTTTTGAACAGCTGGTCTTTTCCATGAGTCTTGATCTGCTCTGACATTTATGTCTCCCTTTAACCATGTCTTTGGCCTAACATCATTGAGTTACTGGATTCTTTATATATTCTAGTGGCCATCTCTGAGATGTGCTCATAGAACACCTAAATTAACCAACCAATTCAAGTTGAGTGTGTTAGGTTAAAAAAAAAAGATTTTTCTGAGTGTTCCCGACCTTATAGCAGTGAACACTTACATTTTCAAGTCTTACATGAGATATTGTGTGTGAAAGCATTTTCTTCCCAAATTTACATGAGTGCCTACAGTGTTATACTTTTTATTAAATAGCTATTGTAAAAATAAGTGTAATTATAGCATTTAATCCCATTATAATATTCATTTGTTTTTCTTTCAGGGGGCACCATTCCCAGTATAGATGTGGACTGGAAACGACACAACTGTGATAGAGTTTACTCTTTTGGGGTTATCTGACAATACTACAGTTTGTGCTATTTTATTTCTTGTGTTTCTAGGAATTTATGTTGTCACCTTAATGGGTAATATTAGCATAATTGTGTTGATCGGAAGAAGTCCTCATCTTCATACACCCATGTACCTTTTCCTCTGCCATTTGGCCGTTGTAGACATTGGGTACTCCTCATCAGTCACACCTGTCATGCTCACAAACTTTCTAAGGAAAGAAACCTCTCTCCCTGTTGCCGGCTGTGTGGTCCAGCTCTGTTCTGTGGTGACGTTTGGGACGGCTGAGTGCTTCCTGCTGGCTGCCATGGCCTATGATCGCTATGCGGCCATCTGCTCGCCCTTGCTCTACTCCACCCGCATGTCCCCCGGCGTCTGCATCATCTTAGTGGGCATGTCCTACCTGGGTGGATGTGTGAATGCTTGGACATTCATTGGCTGCTTATTAAGACTGTCCTTCTGTGGGCCAAATAAACTCAATCACTTTTTCTGTGACTATTCACCACTTTTGAAGCTTTCTTGTTCCCATGATTTTACTTTTGAAATAATTCCAGCCATCTCTTCAGGATCTATCATTGTGGCTACTGTGTGGGTCATAGCCATCTCCTACATCTACGTCCTCATCACCATCCTGAAGATGCACTCTGCTGAGGGGCGCCACAAGACCTTCTCCACCTGCAGCTCCCACCTCACTGCGGTCACTCTGTTCTATGGGACCATTACCTTCATTTATGTGATGCCCAAGTCCAGCTACTCAACTGACCAGAACAAACTGGTATCTGTGTTCTACACGGTGGTGATTCCCATGTTGAATCCCCTGATCTACAGCCTCAGGAACAAGGAGATTAAGGGAGCTCTGAAGAGAGAGCTTAGAAGAAAAATATTTTCTTGATGAAACTAGTTATTTTGAAGAATTCGATGTATTAATATTCCATATATAATAATAATAAGATAATGAGTATTTGTGGTCAACATATATCTTTCCATAGATCATTACCCAGGGTTGAGCTGTTTAGTCAATCATAAGGGTAGATTTTCAGATCAAATATGAAATTAGAAGTCCATCTTGCTTTACCTTTAATAAGATTAAGTTAAATTTATATTTGAGAATGCAAATAGTTTCACATGAAAAAATGCTTTGTCTGCTGAAAATCCTTTTAAAATTTTATTCATGTTTTTTCAAGAGTTGTTTTCTGCTATAAGTTAAGGCATACCTTTAAACCTTCAGACTGTGGCCATTTTCAGCCTCAGCTTATCCCAAGATATATGCCTAATATCGATAGTTGTGAATGAGTACATTATAGAGAAAATGACAAAGGAACCAGATAGTAAAATTGCTAGAGCTATTCTTCTTCCAGAGAGGCTACCTGGTTGAGAATTAGCTTGGTCAATCCACAACAATCTGATCTGTGTTTCTATTCTCTATCTCCAGCATGGTTACAGGGGTCCCAGGGAAGAACAGGATGAGATGCCCCTGACTAACTTATGAATTTCCCTGTCGTATCAAAACAGGTGACTTCTGTGGGAATGAGCAGGGTTTCTGAACTCCTCAGAGACTGAGTGGAAAAAAAAAAACCAGGCAATAACTTCCAAGAGGATAATCTAGCTTATAGTGTGACATTGTGGCTGTAAGGAACAACCTTTTGGAGTGACTCATTAATAGTCAGAGATCTTCGATCTATTCAGGAAACTCAAGAGGACTGGACTGTCTCTTCCCTGAAATTTTGTCTGTCCCTGGAGAGAATCAACCTCTGTATGCTGACCACTACCAGATTTATTTCTATTTCCTGTCCCCTCTTTGGTGTTTCAGACAACAATCCCAATATTATACCAGTAGAACCATAGGGTATCAATTATTTAATTCATTTATTCTTTCTTTTGTACATTCAAAAACTATATTTGGTGATTCTTATAGGCACTGCCCTAGATGAGGATATAAGTGACTAATAGCCACCGATGTCTGTCCTGATGAAACCTGTCTTCTAACATAGGAGTCAGACAATAAAACTAACAAGTAAGTAATACCTACTATTAGAAGGGGATGAGTACCATGGAGAAAGAAAAAGTGGAGCAACTTGTGGAAGGCTGATGTGCCAGGGGCAGGGAGGGGTCACTGCAGATCTCACTGGGAACATAACATCTGAACAACAGCTGCAGAAGGTGAGGATGGTTCATGTTCAATATGGTGTTGCTTGTGTAACAGCTCTATGAGTCATATTCACTTACATGCATGTAATTTACTTTTGAGGTTTTGGTTCCAACAGTGGCAAAATTGGTCATTTTAATAAGTTCCACGGTGAGCACAATTAAAGCATGATAAAATGTTAAATATGTCTTACATTTCACTATAGAACTTATAGGATAATAAAAAATTGTCTTACCAGAAAGTGTGAGAACCTAGAGAAGTAGGCCCAATACTCAAAAATGCTTTTGCCAAGAGAGAATTTGACAAGTCAGAAGATTGTTATTAACCTGAGATGTGGCTTTAGTGTTCTTTTGGTATAAGAAGAGCACAAGTCAAAGCCCATGGAACATCCAGGTGAGAAGTCTGATTTATACACCCCACATATATCCACAGGATAAGGGAAAACCTGAAGTAACCAAGTTTGGCACAGCCCTGGAGAGCTTGAGAAGTTCAGTGTTTGAATTTGAATATAACATGGTCAGGGACAGGTGGCGCATCAGGGTGAACTGAATAAGCAACCAACCAACCCACACCTCCATTATTCCTACTGGTAATTATTCAGAATCAATAACCAGCACACAGTGAAAAATAATGACCAACACAAAAGGAAACAAGGTACCAAGCATGAAAGCCAGTGGAAGCAACAGGCAGCAGAAAAAAACTAAGATTTAACATATGGAAATGAATCATTACAGACTATAACATTGCTTTGTTTCAAAGTAAAAAGACTATTCGAAATGTGTTCAATCACAGAATACCAACGATAATTACTAAAAGTATGCAATTATTTAGAACATCATACTTGAAAAATTCATCAGCCAGTAGAGTTACACCAGGTATTTCTATTTGGTGAGTGTAGTCCTCATTGGTCTTCACATAGAAATCCCAAGTGGGAGCACAGGCAGAGGAGTCATCCTGCTTAGAATCCTCATGACCTTAACTGGAATCAATATATTTTACATAGTTTTTGGTATAGTGTTTAGTTCCAGGGTCCCTGCAAGGGTTTTTACATCATGGTACTCAAGGCAGTATAAAGTAAAAAATAGGATATACCAGCCCCCTGTATGGATAGAATTTAAAATTAATCATTTTTATCATAAGCAGTGTAGTGTTACATGTAACACACCTGACAGTTCAGTTTTGTCCAAATTTAAGGGAAATAGGAAGTTCACTCAAGGTAAAATTTATCCTTAAAGAAGTCAAAGGATTTTGTTAACTGTTTATCATAAAGATAATGATACATGTTATCAGGGGTCTTAAATGCAATACTGTATTTACATAGAATTCTGAACAAATATGCTGTTTAGAATTCCATACTGAATCATAGGCAGAACTTAAAGTGGGCCATGAATAATGTTCTTTGAGAAACAGGCCACCTACTTTTGTGTCAAGTATGGGCTCTGAGAGAAATTATAAAGTACCTTCTTACTTCTTTTTTTTCTTTCTTTTCCATTTTTTTTAAAAGTACCTTCTTATATTACAAAAGAGATGCCACTATAGTTTTGCAATTCTCTTTTCTCATGCAAATTTGTTGAATTCTATTACAAAAACCATTTACGTATTTACTAATGAGGCTATGCTGAAAATATTAGTTTAACAAAATTATATTTTCTTGGCTACACTTGATGGTTTTGCAATTATTTGGCAAGTCTATCTCAATATTATTAGTAGGAGTTATCCCTCTTAGTGAAGAACACAGTTTAATAGCTAAGAAAAAGTCTCCAGGTGAAGTGCCCTACTAGTGTTAAATTAAAAATTAAAAAGAAAAAATAAAGAAAAAGTCTAAAATTTAGCTCTCAGCTAAACCAAATGAAAAGTAATAATTTTATTTTTCAGAATAGATTTTAACAACTCTCTAAGTAGTATAAGGTGAAAAATCTGGACTACAAGATTGGCATTAAAGATATGTATATCTCCTTGAAGTCTGGGCATTTTAGAAAAAGGTATGTAGAACATTTTTAGAACACCGCAATTAACTACAGAGAATACATTAAAGTACATTTAAAAAATTACCTAGAGTTGGGAAATAGTGCAAAACTCAACTTGTTTTAATGGCTTTCAATTACATAAATTATTTTCTCTAAATATAGTGCAGTGAAGTCAGGAAGCAATAAAGAAAAGCTAACTATTAAACACCTATGTGTTGGTAAATAAATAATGCAGCATCGAATAACCCATGGGTCAAAGAATAAAGTAACAATACAAATGAAAAAACAACTGAATGATAAATGTTATGGTTTGGATCTATGACCCCACCTAAATCTCATGTTCAGTTGTAATCTCCAATGTTGGAGTTGGGACCTGGTGGGAGGTGACTGGATCAGGGGCAGTTTCTTATGAATGGTTCAGCACCTTGCCCTTGGTGCTGCTCTCATGAAAGAGAGTGAGTTATTGTGAGATGGACTTGTTTAAAAGTGTGAAGCACCTCTCCCTTCTTTTCTCTTGCTCCTGCTCCAGCCATGTAAGATGTGCCTGCTTTCCCTTTACTCTCTGCCATTATTGGAGTTTCCTGAGGCCTCCTAGCCATGCTTCCTTTACAGTCTGCAGAACAATAAGCCAATTCAACCTCTTTTCTTTATAAATTACCCAGTCTCAGATTTTTTTATAGCAATGTGAGAATAGACTAATACAGTAAGAAAGATATTATAAATATATATATAAACTTGTGATTCATATATATAGTTTTATAAGGAAACTTACTGCTACAAGACTACAGTAATCAAAACAGCATGGTACTGGTACCAAAACAGGCACATAGGCCAGTGAAACAGAACAAAGACCTCAGAAGTAATGCCACAAAGCTACGGCCATTTGATCTTTGACAAACCTGACAAAAACAAGCAGTGGGGAAAGGATTCCCTATTTAATAAATGGTGTTGGGAAAACTGGCTAATCATACGCAGAAAACTGAAACTGGGCCCTTTCCTTACACCTTATACAAAATTTAACTCAGGATGGATTAAAGACTTAAATGTAAGCTCTAAAACCGTAAAAACCCTAGAAGAAAACCTAAGCAATACTGTTTAGGACATAGGCATGGGCAAAGACTTCATGACTATACCACCAAAAGCAATAGTAACAAAAGCCAAGATTGACAAATGGGATTTAATTAAACTAAAGAGCTTCTGCACAGCAAAAGAAACTATCGTCAGACTGAATAGGCAACCTACAGATTAGGAGAAAACTTCTGTAGTCCATCCATCTGACAAAGGGCTAATATCCAGAATCTACAAGGAACTTAAACAAATTAACAAGAAAAAAACAACCCCATCGATAAGTGGGTGAAGGATATGAACAGACATTTCTCAAAAGAAGACATTTATGTGGCCAGGAAACATGAAAAAAAATCTTATCATCACTGATCATTAGAGAAATGCAAATCAAAATCACAATGAGATACCATCTCATGCCAGTTAGAATGGTGATCATTAAAAAGTGAGGAAACAACAGACGCTGCAGAGGATGTGGAGAAATAGGAACACTTTTACACTGTTGGTGGGAGTGTAAATTAGTTCAACCATTGTGGAAGACAGTGTGGTGATACCTCAAGGATCTAGAACCAGAAATTCCATTTGCCTCAGCAATCCCATTACTGGGTATATACCCAAAGGATTATAAATCATTTTATTATAAAGACACATGCACACATATGATAAGCAGCACTATTCACAATAGCAGAAACTTGGAACCAACCCAAATGCCATCAATGATAGACTGGATAAAGAAAATATGGCACATATACACCATGGAATACTATGCAGCCATAAAAAAGGATGAGTTCATGTTCTTTGCAGGGAGACAGATGCAGCTGGAAGCCACTATTCTCAGAAAACTAACATAGGAACAGAAAACCAAACACTTCATGTTCTCACTTATAAAAGGGAGTTGAACAATGAGAACACATGGACACAGGGAGGGGAACATCACACACCAGGACCTGTCAGGGGTTGGGGGACTATGGAAGGGATAGCATTAGGAGAAATACCTAATGTAGATGACGGGTTGATGGGTGCAGCAAACCACCATGGGACATGTATATACCTATGTAACAAACCTGCATGTTCTGCACATGTATCCCAGAACTTAAAGTATAATTTATAAAAAAGAAGTCTCTGATGATTATTTGTCTTTCTATAGGTCAGTGGTAATATTTTCTTCATTGTTCCTAATTAAGTTTATTTGAATCTTCTTTACCAATACAAAATACTTGAAAATGAATATTTGTTGAATGAATGAAGCCGTTTACTCTTTATATTTGCAGTTTAGTATTCTTTAATCTGAAGTATCAAAGTAAACTTAGAACAGAACAGAGGCCCTGGAGGCAATGCCACACATCTACAACCACCTGATCTTTGACAAACCTGACAAAAACAAGCAATGGGGAAAAGATTCCCTGTTTAATAAACAATGTTGGGAAAACTGGCTAGCCATGTGCAGAAAACAGAAATTGGATCCCTTCCTGACACCTTACACTAAAATTAACTCCAGGTGGATTAAAGACTTAAACATAAGACCCAACACCATAAAAACCCTAGAAGAAAACCTAGGCAAAACCATTCAGGACATAGGCATAGGCAAAGACTTCATGACTAAAATGCCAAAAGCATTGGCAACAAAAGCCAAAATAGACAAATGGGACCTAATTAAACTCCAGAGCTTCTGTACAGCAAAAGGAACAATCACTAGAGTGAACTGGCAACCAACAGAATGGGAAAAAATTTTGCAATCTACCCAGCTAACAAAGGGCTAATATCCAGAATCTACAAAGAACTAAAACAGATGTACAAGAAAAACAAACAAAGAAACCCACCCAAAAGTGGGCGAGTGATATGAACAGATATTTTTCAAAAGAAGACATATATGAGGCTAACAAACATGAAAAAATGCTCATCATCACTGGTCATTAAAGAAATACAAATCAAAACCACATTGAGATACCATCTCACGCTAGTTAGAATGGTGATCATTAAAAAATGTGGAGACAACAGATGCTGGAGAGGATGTGGAGAAATAGGAACACTTTTACACTGTTGGTGGGAGTGTAAACTAGTCTAACCATCGTGGAAGACAGTGTGACACTTCCTCAAGGACCTAGAAAAGGAAATTCCATTTGACCCAGCAATCCCACTACTGGGTATATACCCAAAGGATTATAAATCATTCTATTATACCGACACATGCCACGTATGTTCATAGCGGCACAGTTTACAATAGCATAGACCTGGAACCAACCCAAATGCCCATTGATGATAGACTGGACAAGGAAAATGTGGCACATATATACCATGGAATACTATGCAGCCATAAAAAATGATGAGTTCGTGTCCTTTGTGGGGACATGGATGAATCTGGAAACCATCATTCTCAGCAAACTGACACAAGAACAAAAAATCAAATACCGCATATTCTCACTCATAGGCGGATGTTGAACAATGAGAACACACAGACACAGGGAAGGGAGCATCACACACTAGGGTCTGTTGAGGGGTGCCAAGGGAGGGAGAGCAGGGGGTGGGGAGAGGTTAGGGAGGGATAACATGGGGAGAAATGCCAGATGTATGTGATGGGGGGATGGAGGCAGCAAACTACATTGCCATGTGTGTACCTATGCAACAATCCTGCATGATCTGCACAAGTACCCCAGAACTTAAAGTACAATTAAAAAAAGAACCAATGTTTGGCTATGAGATAATGTATTATATTATACTCCCATTAATTGTCAAAAGAAAGTGTACCACCCCTTAGACAAAATGAAAAAATTGATCATTTGAGAATGGACAAACTCTTAAAGATTATTTGTGTTTTTGTGAGTTGAACCGCTCAATATTCACTTGAGAATGTGATAATGATCTCTACTGCTTTTGAATTCACATTTGAATCTCTAGAATCTTCAGAGATTTATCCCCAAAGGCAAAAGACAATAAAGTGTGGTTACTATGTAATAACAAGGCATCTAAATTTATAAGTGTAAGATGATTAAATTTTTATTTCACGAGGTAAGACTTTGGGTTTGTGGGTGAATCTGGTGTAATGAGTTTCAGTTTTCCATTTAAGAACACTTTATTCTTTAAAATTGTTTATGTACTCACAAGTCATAATTAAGAAACAAGACAGATGTAATCTTGGAGTCAGTTAGCAAGTAACTTTAGCTGAATTAAATTAAGTTTCTGCAGTCAATTTAGTGTGAATTAACAGGCATAATTCAATTTACCAAAATTCTTCATATATCCACCCGTAAGAACAGAAACTCACATTGTCTTTCAACACTGTCTAAACTTGGCACTCAGCTATAATACTAATATAAATTAACTAACTGTGAGTCTCACTCTGTCACCCAGGCTGGAGTACAGTGGTGTGATCTCAGCTCATTGCAACCTCTGCCTCCCGGGTTCAAGTGATTCTTCTGCCTCAGTCTCCTGAGTAGCTGGGATTACAGGCATGCACCACCATGCTCTGCTAAGTTTTGTATTTTTAGTAGCGATGGGGTTTCACCATGTAGGCCAGGCTGGTCTTGAACTCTTGACCTCAAGTGTTCTACCCGCCTGACCCTTCCAAAGTGCTAGGATTACAGGTGTGAGCCACCATGCCCGACCCAAGACGCTTTTTTTTTGGACACAGCGTTTCACTCTATCACCCAGGCTAGAGTGTAATGGTGCAATCATGGCTCACTGCAGCCTTGACCTCCCAGGCTCAGGTGATCCTTCCACCTCAGCCTCCAAAGTAGCTGGGACTATGGGTGCATGCCACCATGTCTGGCTAATTTTTAGAGACCAGATTTTGCCATGTTGCACAAGTTGGTCTCAAATTCCTGGACTCAAGTGATCTATCCACCAAAGTGTTGGGATTACAGGTAGGAGCCACCATGCCTGGCCTAACTAGACACTTTGGAGAAAGATAAGGCTATAAAGCCAGGAAACTTGGAGTTGAGGGTCAAGCTGCCCATCAACAGAGTGGCCCTTGGTAAACTTCTCATATTTCTAGGCTGAAACTTTGTTCTTCTGTATATTATGTCCAAAATAATATTATTTGATTCTTTAATACTTCAATTTGTTAATATTGTTACATTAGGAAATGATTTGGTTTGAATAAATATCTTAATTATGTTCTAAATCTTAATCATACAATATTATGCATAATGTTTAAATTGGTATTTCAACCTAATTGATATAATAATATTTTAACTGGAAATAATAAAAGCACTTAATTTATATTAGATGACTTCACTCATAAGCATAACTTGACATTTCTTTTTATTTCTTCCCTGTCCTGTGAAGAAAATTGTATGCCTCTTTTAAAAAACTAGTTGATTAACTGATAGATATTGTAAGCTATGTAACTAGCTAGGTATCTCTTTTATACATCAGTTATACATTTCAGAGAACTGAAATGTTAATCTGTTATCTACTGATTTTTAAGTGTACTAGATTTCATGGTAAATATTCCCAACTATGCTATAAATGTAATATTTATACAATGTTATACAAATGTAATATTATAATTATATTAACAACATAGTTATTATGGGAATTGACTGGATTCAAACTTCCTGGGATTCAGATCTGGAGTCTACCACTTACTATATAACCTTAGGTAAGTTACTTAACATTTTCAAACTTAGTTTCCCCATCTATAAAATGGGAATAATAAAAGTGCTTATCCATTTGACCCAGCAATCCCATTACTGGGTATATATCCAAAGGATTACAAATCGTTCTACTATAAGGGCACGTGCACACGAATGTTCATTGCAGCACTGTTTACAATAGCAAAGACCTAGAACCAACCCAAATGCCCATCGATGATAGACTGGACAGGGAAAATGTGGCACATATACACCATGGAATATTATGCAGCCATCAAAAACGATGAGTTTGTGTCCTTTGTAGGGACATGGATGAACCTGGAAACCATCATTCTCAGCAAACTGACAGAGGAGCAGAAGATCAAACACCGCATGTTCTCACTCATAGGCGGGTGTTGAACAATGAGAACACATGGACACAGGGAGGGGAGCACTACACACTGGGGTCAGTTGAGGGGAAATAGGGGAGGGACAGTGGGGGGTGGGAGCTGGGGCGAGATAGCAAGGGGAGAGATGCCAGATGTAGGTGATGGGGACGAAGGCAGCAGATCACACTGCCACGTGTGTACCTATGCAACAATCTTGCATGTTCTTCACATGTACCCCAAAACCTAAAATGCAATAAAATAAATAAATGGGGGAAAAAGTGCTTAATATTATTTTATAGAAATTAAAATAGATATCTCTCTATATATAATGTATATAATAAAATAATATATATGGTATATATTATATACATATAGACAAAATTCTTAACCATGAGCTGGTAATTTGATGGGCATTCAGCAAAAGTTAGCTAATATTTAAGTGTTCATTAAATAATCGTACATTAATATATTTTAACTTTTTTTGTTATATGGACCATCCCTTTTATTATTCTTCTAGGTCTTATGTTTCAAAATCTTTATCTTTAAAGCAACTTTAAGTTAATTTTTATTGAAAATACAAATTGAAGAGGATATACATTATTTGAAGCAATTTTTTGGGGGTTTCTTCTAAAATATTTTAAAATATAGAAAGACTCATTACATATAAATACATAAACAATGAAACTCTAAAGTAAAAAACATTTAGTCTAAACTTTCCTTGAATGATATATCTATTCACATTAACCTTCATTTATATATTAACAAAGATGAAACCATCAAATTTATAACATTTTAATGTGCTGTTCTCATCACAGATTCATTTTGGCAGCAGCTACTTTGTCTCATGGACTCCCCGAAGGATGGGAATCACACTGCTGTGACAGAGTTCATCTTATTGGGCTTAACAGATGATCCAGTCCTCCAAGTCATCCTCTTCATGATCATCCTATGCATCTACCTGGTGACCCTATCTGGCAATCTCAGCATAATCATTCTTATCAAAATTTCTTTTCAGCTCCAGCATCCTATGTACTTTTTTCTGAGTCACTTGGCTTTTGCTGACATGGGCTATTCATCTTCTGTCACACCCAACATGCTTGTAAACTTCCTGGTGGAGAGAAATACAATCTCCTACCTTGGATGTGCCATCCAGCTTGGTTCAGCGGCTTTCTTTGCGACAGTCGAATGCATCCTTCTGGCTGCCATGGCCTATGACCGCTTTGTGGCAATTTGCAGCCCACTGCTTTATTCAAACAAAATGTCCACACAAGTCTGTGTCCAGCTACTCTTAGTAGCTTTCATAGCTGGTTTTTTCATTGCTGTCTCTTACACTACTTCCTTCTATTTTTTACTCTTCTGTGGACCAAATCGAGTCAATCATTTTTTCTGTGATTTCGCTCCGTTACTTGAACTCTCCTGTTCTGGTATCAGTGTCTCCACAGTTGTTCTTTCATTTTCTGCTGGCTCCATCACTGTGGTCACTGTGTGTGTCATAGCCGTCTCCTACATCTACATCCTCATTACCAACCTGAAGATGCGCTCCACAGACGGGCGCCATAAGGCCTTCTCCACCTGCACCTCCCACCTCACTGTGGTCACTCTGTTTTATGGGACCATTACCTTCATTTATGTGATGCCCAAGTCCAGCTACTCAACTGATCAGAACAAGGTGGTGTCTGTGTTCAACACGGTGGTGATTCCCATGTTGAACCCCCTGATCTACAGCCTCAGGAACAAGGAGATTAAGGGGGCTCTGAAGAGAGAGCTTGGTAGAAAAATATTTTCTCATGATGCTTGTTATTTTTGTAGAACTTCAAATAATGATATTACATAGAACCTGTCTATTCTCTTGAGAATACTCAATGTGTGTAGATACAGATTTAGTGTTTGCTTTCTTGACAGTGTTGAAAGTTTCATATAGAAGTGACTACATCTTTTCTGCTCCCCATGTACCTAATTTTCACATGGTTTCTGGAGCCTAATAAGCACAACTGCATATTTAAAATGAAGAAATAAAGAAAAAAATGATGAATTAATGGATGGCTGAATGAAGCTTTTCTTCCTGCTTGAACTGCTGACTCTGCTGACTTTGAATCCTGGCCACTGATCAGCTGAATGCTTCTGTATGATTCAAGTGATTGAATGTTTAGGTCAGATCCTGCTACAACAGAGATAGCCTTTTACAACAAACTTGTACTCAGCACATCCACATCACTACCTTGACACTTTTATAAGCCAGATTAGCAACTAGAATCTCAGCCTAGCTTACTGAAAGGTTTGAATTCACACTTTACTAGTTTCTTCTTTACGCATTTGCATGGTTGGAGAGCTAAAAGATCTAGAAGTCAAATGTTAGTAATAGTAGTAACAGTATTAAATTGTCCACTACATTCTGGGCCCTGTTCTCACTGATTTACAAGTATAGTATTAACCTAATTATTTCTTGGAATAACTCTTTAAAGTTTTAAAAAATCCTTGTATTACAAAGGCTGTAACTGAGGCACATAAGGTAGAACAAAAGATCAATGGCACAAATAGTCTCATAATACTTTGGCTTTTTTTTTTTAAGGCACATACTTCCTGTAGAGTAAAGGGCACTTTGAAACACTTCACCATGAACTTTTATTTGTCTCTGGCACATTCCTTTCTAGTAAACTCTTTCTGTTCACAGTAAGTATACAGACTTCTATATCTGGATATAGCAGGCTGATTTTTATTACACCAACTTTGTGGCATGAAATACATATGAAAATGGATATTTTTACGTGTTTGAAGGCATAGATTTCTGATTTCTTTGAAGCTGAAGCAGCCCCATTTCTTCCAGGCCCTTCCTCTTATTACTAAAAAATCCCTAGACATAGCACAAAAATAAGTATAAGAAGACTTTCAAAGATAGAACAAAAAGGGTTAACTGCCTAGGGACTATTGGACTTGAAAAACAATATAGCAATGAATTTTGGGAGTTTCCTTATTGCTTCCATATATCCTGGACAGGATTCGTTAGAAACTTCCAACTCAGAACTGCCAACAGACACAGACAAAAACAAAAAACAACTGTAAGAAAAGTCTATTCTCTCCTGGTCAAAGAACTGGGAAAAGGGTGGTCTGGAGAGAAAAGAAAACATTTTGGCATTACCTACCTGACTCCAGACAAAAACCAATGGAAAAATCATGTTTTTCCCCTTCCCTGTGTTTCAGTGGAGCCAATCAGGGAGCCTATTTTCCAAATGAACTAGGATCCACTTGCCTTGCGCAGTAAGGCCAAACAGCCACACCAGGTTTGCAGCAGGAGAGGGCATTTATTTGCATAGTGCCAAGCAAGGAGGATCAAGCAGCCCTTGCTTAAGTCCTGACATTTCCAATGGCTTGCAAGTAAGGATTTTTAAAGGTGGGGAGGCAGAGGTTATAAGCAAAGTCATAAATTGGAATATGGAGGCAATACATTGGTTTGACCTAACAGGGTGGTAGACTTTGAAGCAGGTGTGGGGAACAGATCATAGGTGGACTCAAAAATTTTCTGATTTGCAGTTGGTTCAGGAGGCAAAGCTTTGTTTAAAACTTTGAGATTAGCTGAAAAGAATATTAGTTCTGGCCTGGGAGTGTGACCTCTACCACGCTCCTCAGGAGGAAATTTAGAGCAAAGCATGGCTGTGGTCAGACTTCAGTCCTCGTTTACCCTTTATCTGAGGTCTGTGTGCCAGCAGATGAAAATTTTCATTTGGTGGGGGTCCAGGTTTCTGAAAAACAACCCAAGGACATATGTTGTTAAGATGCTGTCTTTAGAGTCTATAGATTCAACCAACATCCTGTGATTCTAACTTCCTTGGCTATTGTTACACCACTATTACTTTCTTGCATATCAAGTTGCTCATTTACTTCTCAGAATTAGCTAGGTGTCTGAAATTTTCCTTGAAGAAACTCATTTTTTTTTCTGTTATTTCTATGCTTGAGGGGGCCCACAGGTCCCTAAGAGGAGTCCCTGTTCCATCTCAAGCTGATCTTCACCTTGTCCTCCCTCTGATTCTGGTTAGCAGGGTCCAGTGGAGAAATGAGCCTCCCCTGTCACCTGACAGCAACAAGACTTAATGAGATGGTGTGAGGTAGGGCTAGCTGGTATTCTTCACCCTGCATCATGACTCCCCTGCCCTAATGAGATTGGTATCCCGGTGAGGAGCTGAGCTTCCAACCCTCCCTGCAACAAAGCAGTGTGAACCAGCTATCTACCTCACCTTTCCTTAGGGGCAGTGAGTCCCAACAGGGAGTGGAACCTTAAAGGTAAGGAGGCATATAAATCAGTGCCCTTCACTGGGATGAAGACAGCAGAGCAGTGGGGAGCTGAACTTTCACCTCACCCATCTGGAAGAAAGTAGTATGAGTCAGCTCTCCATTTTTGGCAGACTGGAACATACTTGGAAGTTTCAACTACATCTCAGCAAGAATGACCAGTGAAAAAGACTGAGCATGATTCGGAGATTCAGAGTTTCATAATATGATATCCAGAATGTCCATGGTATGGTCAGATATCAATTTTTGTTCCAAGAAAAACACACCTTGAATGAGAAGAGGTAATACATGCTAACACTAAGATGAAGCTGATATTGAAATTTTCTAACAAAGATGTAAAGCAGCCGTAAAAAAAAGATTCAAGAAGCAATCATTAATTTTCTTGAAAAAAATAAAAATAGAGAATTTCAGCAAATAAATAGAAGTTACAAGGAAGAACCAAATGGAAACTATAAAACTGCAAAACATACTCATAGAAATATTAAAAACAACAACAAACTTGCCGGATGAGATCAGTAGCAGAGTGGAGACACAGAAGACAAAATCAGTGAACTTAAATAAAAATGAGTAGAATTTACCTGTTCTGAACAATAAACAAAAGAGATGCGAACAATAAAAAAGAACAGAACTGCATGAACCTATAAGACAATAAAAGAGAGCTAATATTTATATCTTGAGAATCTCAGAAGGAAAGAGGTATTCAATAAGTAATCAAAGAAGTAATGGTTGAAAACATTCCAAATTGGTGAAAGATATATAGAGCTACAGATTCAGGAAGGGTCAGCAAATCTCAAATAGGATAAACTCAAGGAAATCCACAACAAGACATATCCAAATTAAGCTTTTGAAAATTAAAGACAGAAAAATCTTGAAAGCAGCCAGAGAGAAAGGACATATTACTTAGAAGAGAAAACTATTTTGCAAGACAATGAGTTTCTCATTCAAAACTATGAATCCAGAAAGCGGTGCAACTTTTTTTTTGTTCTTTTTTATGAGTTAAAAAAATTGTATATGTTTAAGTTATACAACATGTTTTGATACCATGTACATAATAATGTAACAATTAAGCAAATTATCACATGCATCATCTTACATAGTTACCTTTTTTTTTTTTTCTTTGTTGGAGCACCTAAAACCTACTTTCTTGGTAGAATGATGGTTACCAGAATCTGGGAAGAGTGGTGAAGGTGGGCAGAAGTGGAGATGTTTAATGGGTATAAAAATATAGTTAAATAGAATGAATAGGAGACAGCACAGCAGGGTGACGATAGTCAACAGTAATTTACTGTACATTTTAAAATAAAACTTAAGAAGAACTAGAATCTGTAGCAAAAAAAAAAAAAGGATGAATCCTTGATGTGATGAAAACCCCATTTATCCTGATATGATTATTACACATTGTAAGTCTGTTTCAAAATATCTAATGTACTCAATAAATATAAACACGTATGTGTCCATAAAAGTGAAAAATAAAAAAAAGAAGAAACAAAAAAAATCTACTCCCTTAAAAATTTTGTGTATACAATACAATATTATTAACTGTAGTCTTCTTCTTCTTCTTTTTTTTATTGAGACAGTCTGGCTCTGTCATCCAGGCTGAAGTGCAGTCACATGATCTCGGCTCACCACAACCTCCACCTCTCAGGTTCAAGTGATTCTCCTGCCTCAGCCTTCCAGGTAGCTGGGACTACAGTGCATGCCACCAGGCCTGGCTAATTTTTTGTATTTTTAGTAGAGATGGGGTTTCACTGTGTTAGCCAGGATGGTCTCGATCTCCTGACCTCGTGATCCACCCACCTTGGCCTCCCAAAATGCTGGCATTACAGGCATAAGCCACTGCACCCGGCCAACTAGAGTCTTCTTATTGTACATTAAATTGCTCAACTTATCCTAAATAACTGCAACATTTTAGCCTTTGACCACAGTCTGCCATTACCTACTACACCCTCCTCCTGGTACCCACCAATCTGCTCTCTGTTTCTAAGTATTTGATATTTTTAAAAGATTTCACATGAGATCATGAAATACTTTTATTTTTGTGTTTGGCTTATTTTACTTAGCATAATGTCCTCAGGACCATCCATGTTGTGACAAATGGCAGGATCTCCTTCTTTTACAAGGCTGAATAATATTCCATTGTGTGCATATGTGTATGTGTGTGTGTGTCTGCATGTATATAATATATATATTATACAAAAGACTGAATACACACACACCATTTTCTTTATCCATTTATGGTGACTCAGATGTCTCCATGAGGCACTGATTTCATTTCCTTTGAGTACATACCCAGCAAAGGGATTGCTGGGCCATATGTAGTTCTATTTTTAATTCTTTGAGGGACTTTCATACTGTTTCCACAATGACACCAGTTTAGAGTCCTACCAACAGTGCACAAGCGTTCCTTTTTCTCCACACCCTCACAAACATTTGTTATCTCGTCTTTTTTATTATAGTTGTCCTAATGGGTATGAGGTGATATCTCACTGTGGTTTTAATTTGCATTTCCTTGATGATTAGTAATACCAATAAGCATGTTTTTATATATACCTATTGGTCATTTGCATGTCTTCTTTTGAGAAATGTTTATTCAGATCTTTTGTCCAATTTTTAATCTGGTTATTTGAGGGTTTTATTTATTTATTTTTTTTGGTATTGAGTTGTTGTAAGTTCTTTACACATTTTGGATATTAATCTCTGATCAAATATATGTTTTACAA